ATATATAATATAATAATAATAAGACAATGCTGTGTTTTTGTTTCGAGAAGAGAAGATTTAGTAATAAAAGAGGAGGATAAACTCTCCTACCCCAACTTCTTTTTAAAAAAAATATTTTTTTTTTAGAAACACAACGCACTCTTACAACACCCTCCCCTTGTTATGCACACACACACACATACATTTGTATATGATTGCATGCACTAACACACAAACTCATTTTCTCTCACACACCCTGCTAATATAACCACTTACACAAACCCCTACACACTATAATAAGTTCACTTGGTTTATTTCACTGACAAAATATATTATTGTGCAGTATTTTTTCCTGCTTTTAAAGCAAGTTAACGTTAAAAAAGTAATTAAAGAAACAAAAGGCTTTAAGCAAATCCCCCATCCCCCAACAGACAACAAACAACCCAAAACAACATCAACAAAACAACAGGAAAAAACCCCAACAAACATTTAAGCTATGTCGCGGAAACAACTAGGGAGGGAAGGCTATATTTAAGAGTCTCTGGGGAAGGTGGCGGGGGTGTGTAGAAATGAAAAGTAGCACAATGAATTACGAAATGTTTTTATTGTGAGGCCTAGTGTGAAGAGGCTTTAAGACGAGGATATGGGCAAAAGCAGCAATAAATCTATTGAAATTTTAAAAAAGCAAGAACAGAGACACGATTTCAGATCTTGGTCTTCGCCCGACAAATTACAATCAATAATGGATCCATCAATAATAATAGAAAACGAAAGTAGGAGAAAGAGAGCCGCAAGTGTCACGTGATCTAGTGTCATGTGATACGAGTTTACCATGGAGGACAAAGCGATGTTGTTATTGTTGCAGCTCTCAGATAGCGGTAAGACATTGCTCGATATTGTCAAAAGACTGATGCTATCGTAAAGCTGTCAGGGGTCAATCCTCCTCAAATATTTGATTAGTAGGCCTACGTGTAGTCTTGAAACGCTGCTGCCTACCAAACGTACTTAAATTCTGCCTCGACTGGGCAAAAGAACAGCAGTAATTAATTCAACTAACTAAAAACAGTCAGTGACACTAACAAGAAGTACATTAGATCTGGATCTAGAATCTAGTAGAGGGAGAAAGGGAACACTTTCACTCCCGGACACAGATGCACTGGGCCCTCGGGGGTCAAAATGCAGTATTGTTTGCTGCAGATCACTCATAAAGCCACTAAAACTGTCGAAAATCAATTATTTTCTAGAAAATTACAAACCTAGCCTACTAGAGATTCTTAAATTTTACTTTCCCTCCCGTCTCTCACTTACTGACTTAGAGCTGATATTTTTAGAAGGCTGACTCTGTATGGCCTTCTCCGAATGCTCGCGAAAAAAACCTTGAAGTCTATTTCTCAGAACGGTGTCCGTTCTCGAGATTTGTTTGTTATTTGCGAATGGAGTGGCCCGCACGTACGCGTATGAGTGTGTGGTGAGTGTATACGTGTGTGTGTGTGTATGTAAGGCAAGCAGGTGGGAAAGGGGGGGGGGGGGGGTGTGGGGTCATGAAAGGTTTTTTTTTAGTTTACATCTTGAAGGATTTTACCTTTTTGCTTTAGGGGTTACTAAATGCAAAATAGGTTAATTACTGCCAAAGTCGAGCAGTCTTGTTTTCTTGCAGTACCACAATTGAAGTATCTGAATATTCAGACTTTAAAAAATCTCTAGCTCAAGAAATTGAATTAGATGCAAAAAATGCTTCTTCCCAGTCCTCGCAGAATGGCAGAATAAAAGATGACACCTAAATCCTGCAAATGACCAAAAAATCTCGAGAACGGAAACCATTCGGAGAAATAGAGGTAGAATCTAGATAGTTTATTTTCATGAGCGTTCGGAGAAATAGTCTCTTCATTTTTAGAAAACTGGAAAACGTCGAATGGGGATACCAAGTCTCTTACAAATTTCTGACTTAGTGCAGGACTCTAAGTATCCAAGCAGTTAATGTCCTCACAGTCTCACAAGTCACAGGTGTTTTTCTTCCAAACATGTCGTGGAGAATTATGGAAGAGGACATTGATGTCTGATATAGGAGGCTGAAGTGGCAGAAGTAAACAACAAATATGATGAATATTGTACCCTCATTTACCTTGTAATGTGTTTGAAAAAAGAGGAGAAAAAGGAGTCTTAGGTGTTAGAAAAAAGAGGTAGCGATTTTTGCACCGTAGGATTTTACAAGCTTAAAATTAGAATATAATGAACACCTGATTTTCAGGGGGGGGGGGGGTTCTGTTTTATGGTCATCGAGTCTGTGTAATTGAAGTTTTGGATCTGTTCAAGACTTAAAAACTACCAGCCTTAGGTGACCAGGAGATTTTGGCTGTGCTGCAAACCTGCACACGATCATGCACCTCCATAGATAGTGAAACATGACACACACACACCAACAATACATAAACGGACACTTACATACAGTGTCATCCTATTTTTGATTGGCCTATTGTTATAATACTCATGAAAGAGACTGAAAAATGCTTTGTTTTGTTTTTGTGTCCTACAAACACTGCCAAAGCAAAACCCAAACAACTTTCTCAGTTGTTTTTTTTAAGAAGAGGTGCAAGGAAAGATTAAACGATATGGTTATGATGCCATCCTGTTGTGGAATTTTTGCTGTGTGTCGCTGGAGACACCCTTTCAGAATGTCTTTAATGTTTTTAAACATTGTTTGCAAACTTTTAAGTTTGTAGTCTTTCTTATTACTGAAACATTTATATTGCTAAATTTTAAGGCTTTTTTGTTTCAAACAGCTTTTCCTGTTGGTGGATTCTCGCACAGTTGTGGACTGGAAGCATTGTTACAAAGCAATGGCAAGCAAAGGACAGGTTTGGAAGTGGCTTTTACATTGAATGAACTGTCGTTGTTATCGATCCAGTAATGAATTGTCAAATCAATAGTTTGTTAGATCAGGGATTTTTCACATAATGGGGACTCTATGAATTTCTTTTACCATACATGTATTGTCAATTATATTGAGAGACTTTATTTTGTCTGAATCCCTTTTCTGTGAACTGAGAAATGCAGTAGATTTTCTTTTTCTTTTTTTTTTCCACTTTTTGGTCCTTTTGGTAAATTTCTGTGATTTGTTCACTCATTATTTGTGATTTTGATTTGATGGCCACCTCAAAGTTTCCGAGGTGTGAATTTGATCTGAGTCAGAATTTTTATCTCCTCCTGACTAGAACACTCCTGTTCACTCATATTTTATGAAACATACCCAAACTGAAAAAAGTTGTAACTATTTGCTCTATGATTAGTGACTGATGTTCAATGTTATCTTTTTAATTTAGAAACGCTTGTATATGTGAAAAGATCCCGATTAAATGAATTGAAGTTACCTGTGGTAACCTGGTATAATGTTTTTAAATTTCCCAAATTACTTGTACTGGCACTGTTGTTGACTTTCTTCTTCATTTCTTGTATTTACAGATAAAAATTTTCTACAGTCAGCTTTTGTAAGTGCACTGGAAAATGCAGGTGGGTCTATTTTCCTATCAATTCCTCTATTGTTTGTAGATTTTGATGATAGGTTATTTTGAGTCTTCGATAACCTCTAGTTTTGTGAAAGACCAGGAAGTCGGGTGTCTATGGTGTAAGCACTAGGTATGAGTTCAATTCCTGTGGGGAAAGGTCTATTCTTTTAAGAACTTTGACCCATCTGCTTGTACACTGTTCTCCACTCAGCGCGGGTTTGGTCCTAATGGGTGGAGTGGAGCAGCCTGCGTCCTAAATAACCTAAATTGTGTTGATGGGGATGGAAGACATCTGTAGTCCATGAAGCTGAGAAACTGGTGTAATGGGTGTGCTTTTTTAAAATTCTTGCTCATATATATCTACTACCCTTGCTCTTTCTAGGATAGAAGGTATAAATCTACTACCCTTGCTTTTTTTTTTTTTAGGACAGAAGGTACTAAGGAGAGGGTAAAAACCCCGAAAGCTGCTGAATGTTGAAGAGCTTCCTAAATTAAAGTTGTAAAAAGTCAATACAGTCAAACCTATCTTAATGAAAACCTGTCCAAGACTGAAACCTACCGTTATGAGATCTCCCTGATTCATCTATAATACATCTGTCTAAGACGAAATTTGCTTTTCTTTCAGAGGGTCATTGGGTTGCAGTTTAACTGTGTTTGGTTAAAGCAGACTTCACTGAACTTCTTTTTTCCTCTGATGTATTTTCAGGATCTTTTGGAGTGCCATTTGTGCAAGGAGCGTATCAAGCAGGATTGGTTACCCAAGATTTAAAGAGCCTCGATAGACTATGCCAGGCATCCAGCCCAAACCACATTGCCTGTCGAGCTAGCACTCGTCAAGTGAGTTAGTAAAAGTTTAGGTACTTTCTGAATTTCTACTGGCATTTGTGGTGTAACAGTTCAGGGCTTTGTGGTCGCATGCTGGAGACCCTGGTTTGATTCCCAAGTCAGGAGAATTTTGAGCAAGTATCTTGGTCTTTCTGCCGGGATGTTGTATCCTTCTCAGCCGGGATCGGCAGTGACAAGCTGGGTCGGAAGCCCTCCTCCTAAATGATTTAAATTGGTTCTCCTGTGTGATTCTTGTTGGCATGTATTCACGCAGCTGTTGTGGCTCAACTTTTTCTCAGGGAAAATCTATTATGATCTTTAAGTGTTGTCTCAAAAAGTAACACACTGAGGATTTTTTTTTCAACCGAATCAGGTCACAAGAACTTCAGGGTTTGGACACTTTGAAGTGAATTTTGGTCTCAAATGCTATCATAGTATCTTTTTTGCACATTTCCAATCCATTGAGGTTGTATTAAGTTTATTGCAGGTTGAAACTTTTGCTACTCTATCCTAAGTGTAAATGATTTGTGTTGTTACAATGAATTCATCGTTGTTTGAGCCAGAGGAAGCACATCGACATAGTAAGGGTCATTTAGTGTTGGGGCAAAGCAACATGGAGAGATGGATCAAACACAAAAATATATTTGAAGAGATGAAATCTACCAGTGGTGCCCTCAAATCACCCACATGCTCACTACATAGTACATGAAGAAATGACATGGGATGTAATGTATTTCTGGAGAGGGGAGTTATTTGAATAACTAAAGGTATTTTTTACAGGCTGTACTGATTGATATTCCAAGTGTGAATTTGTTTGAATGGCTTCTTTGAAACTTACATTTTCTTCTTGCTGAACCTGTATTTATTTCTGTGAGGACTTCACACACCAATGATGGATATAGTACATACGTTATATCACTCGTTAATCTATTTTGTTTTGTATCTCTTGAGCATTATGGTTTGCAGTGACACAGATTGCGGTAAGTTTTATATAAAGTGTACATAACACAAGGCATATAGGCCTATTATTATTTGCACCGTACTTCTCACAGGGACAGTCATTCCGTGAGGTATGCAGCTTTGTGTGCACTGACCTTGATCCTGGCGTCACATCAGCCTTGTCGGAGCTACCGCATTGCCACGTCCCAGTTGTGCACGGTGCTTTGTTCTCCGCCCTTGGCTTTGACCTTGACACAACGTTGACAGCGTTCCTGTTTGGCGTTGTGAGAAATGTTGTTGCTGCTGCTGTACGGCTGGATGCTGTTGGTCCCATGGAGGTGTGTGAGATGAACTGATTGATGGAGAATATGTGGTGCAGACCTTTGAGGGCTTTATCCCTTGGTTTTAGTTTTTAGTTTTAGTAGAGGTTTTACGGTGCTCGCAACTGCATAGTGTCATATGAGCACCAAGGGGTGGATTTCAACGGAGAAGTCCTTACAAGGAATCAGACTAACTCTGCTCACCTCTCTAGCTTCAACAGCGCGAAGTTTGCTTTGACTATCAAGGCATCCCGGGAATAGCGGGTCACAAGAGTGTGACAAACATACAAAAGAAGTAGAGGTAAAATGACGATAGTAAGGAATTGTAAAGAAAAAGCAGCAGTTCCCTGTTGAAGTTCAGGCACCGTTATGAGGGTGACATTGATATATCAGCCCATTTACAATTACAATTCTACTTTGAATAAGAACATGGTTAATGTCCCCCCTTTGGGAATGGCCTAAAGACACTTCAGACCCCTTGGTTTGCTGAGAGGTATTCCATCAATATTTGTATAGTCAAGATAAAAAGTTCATTCAAGAGAGACAAGGCCATAGTATATTTCACATGATTTAATGAAACAGAACTTCACAGTCTTAATTACATCTCTTTGTACTTCCCTGTAAACTGGTAAACGCGTTATGGGAAGAGAACCAGTTTTGGAGAATACAATCCAGTACATCTACACATCAAGAAGAGGTTAGCTGTATAGTTAATTGAATTTTGATAGAACTGAGAAGGCTAGAAGTGGGCTTATAGCTCAACAGGCATGGTGTTCCCCTGTTTTCCTGGAGGTCAGGGCTTTGATCTCCGCCAGCATTGGTTTTTTTTTTTCTTTTGTTTACAAAACTTCCTAACCCTTAGGTAGGTAAGATTGAGTACTTACTCTACTTGGGAAAGGAAAAAATAAAATTGCAGGTCCTTTGTGGAAGTTTTTCATGTTTAAGATCCCTGAAAACAGTTGGTCCTTTGGGACAAAATTCAAATTTAATTATCACCCAAAACTGAAGTCACTTAAGTCAGTATAAATACTAAGTGCACCTTCAAAAACAGCATGTGGCTGCCTGTTAGGGAAAGGATGATTTTACATTTTGTGTAAATAAAATGCTCTTATGTAAAAATGAACTACATAATGAGATGAAGATCTTGCAGTCTGTTACCCCAGAGGTCTGGCAGGAGTAGGCAGTAGAAAAAAGTCTAGAGAGCTTTGTATCATAATTGATAATTGTGTGGGTTTTAATGCCGTTTTCAATCATGTGAATCTATTTTACCCCTTTGGGTTTTTCTAAAGACCTAGCATTATGTCTGACAATGCTAAGAATCGAACCCCTGGACTTAAGAAAACGAACTTGGGAAAATCATCCAACTTTGTCTTGATGATTATAACAAAGCCTTAGAAATGCCCTTGTAGTTTCCATTGTGTAGTTGGTAGTATTTTGGAATTGACAGGGCCTTCTTCACTGCTTTGCTGTCTCTCAGTTGAAGCATCCTATTCATGCTGGTTGCTGTGGAATTATATGTTCTAAATTGTGCTTGCCTAATTGAGACTAAGGTTTGAAAGATTTGATATTTGTTGTCGGATAAGAATTTTGTTGTTTTCCCAATTTGGCCAAATGTACTTTTTGTGCAAAAGTTCTTTAAAAAAAACCCGTCAGGTCAAAATGATAATCTATGTATAAGTATATGTGAGGCAGCGAGGTGGAATCAGGCTCTCGTCAAAATAATCGAAGTGAAGAAACTTTCATTTTTCCGCAGGTTTGTGAATTTTTATCTATTTTGTTTTTTGGCTCAACACCTTTCACGCCCATTAAAGAACTGATTTCTGTGCTTATTTTTCTGAAAAACGTTGATTAAAGGCACAAAAAATGTAAATTTTCAATTACCACGGACTCTTAAGCTAAGGAAATAACTAATCTTTGGCGGGCATTTTCTCACTAATTTTACCTCTGAAAACAGTGACCCCCACCTCTTTCATTTTCAAATATCTCAACTCATATTCAAGATAAATGGATATTTTTTCCATCCAAATAAAGACAGGTGGACAAGCTTTAAGCTGATGCCAAAAACTCTACATGCCCAAAATTTGACGAGAGCCTGATTCCACCACGCTGCCTCACATATGGGAGAAATGCTCCTGTAAAATGAAAGAAAAAAGAGTAGTCTTTTTGAATGTGTGACACTTGAGATCGGACACTTTATGTTATCTCTGACTTAGCTTGACAATTGTGAAATCAGACGTAAATGATATCGTTTTTTTCTTTTAATGTGTATTTGGTATTGTTTTCAATTATGCTGATAATATCTATTTGTTTGCCATATTCTTTTTCAGGCTCAAAGAATGCAGAAAAAGCTCCAAGATATGATTCCTGATGTTATCCTCAGGTTTGTGACTCTAACATTTTTTCAAAGTCTGTTCAAATGCTCATATTGACTGCACAGTGTAACACTGGGTCCTGTGTCGCTTTTAAAAATGGCATAGGGCAGAGTCTTTAACAATGCAGTCCATATGTTGCAATCATACATTTAGTGTGGCCACAGATTTTATGCTCTCTCCTTCTACTCCAAATGCTGTGTTTTTTAAACTGCAAGCTCAATGCTCTCCAATAAAATCGACACAGGAAAATATTTTTTAATGGACATTAAAGTTTTTGGGCCAACCCCCCCCTCGAAAAAACCCAGATAAAAATGGAGACGTGTCTGTTTCTTCAATTTCATTATTTTGATAAGGGCCATTTCGTCATGATGCCACACGTTTATATACATACAGGTACGTAACCATGTAATCCTATGATTGTTATCTTTTCAAAGCAAGTTATGCCCCTTGCATGTCTATGTGCAGCTTGGGTTGGCCTGGACAAACGGAGTGGAAGCAGTTGGCCTCCTTATTGTTCTTGTTGTGATAATGGAAATGTAAAATATTTACTATAATTTAAAAGATGTTATGTATTATGTGGTCCCTTCCCCTTTCTGTGTTCTTCAAATCTGCCTTCTCCACTGATGTGGGACAGTCTGTGGTACCATAATGTTAGCTCGGCTTGTATCTTCCTGGCCTACCATGCAGGTGACCAGGTTTGAATCCCTAGTGGGATAGTCTTGATCTCGGGTTCCTTTGACGTGGCTCTTTCCTGTTGGAGATGGAAATTAAAATCAAAGTTCTCACCTCGTAGATATTCTCATTGAGTTAATGGAAGTGTTATACCCACATGCTTCTTGGTATTTCAGCTCTATTTTTTTTCTCAATTCTTTTTCTTAGCTATCTTATCTCGTCACAGGTAGCTCTTCTAGTAGATCCTAGTTATTTACTTTCCTCATTTGTTGCTGTCCGTCTCTCTCACTCTTATTATTTCTCAGCTCTTAATAACTATAATTTCTCTTTACTCGAACACAATGAAAACCTGTAAATCTTTGTGACTGTACTTTTGAAAGTATAAATGGAACACATTCTTTTCTTCCCAGGAATAAATGGCGCAGTGCTGATGATGCTTCAGTCACTTTTCCCGTGCTGGACATTCTGCAGAATACGCAAGACACTTTGTTCTGCAAGCTCTTTTACTCTTAACTCTTCCAAGTGGTGTTGCCTCGAGATGTTCCCTTATATCTCCTTATTGACAACAGTGTACGTACAGGCAGGATATGAGTTTAATCCTTTGCTGAGAGGTTTCTTTTGACTCTGGAATGATGCATTTTACGCTGATGTTTGCCATATTGTGTTCCACACTTATTTATTTTCGTGACAAATTTTACAGTTAGTTGGCAGATTCCTTTTTAAAATGTAAAAATCTGTCAGTTGTGAATCATGTGTTTATTCTTCTTTTTTTTATCATACCTTATGATATCTCAATGATGTCATCTGTGTTTTTGCACAAATGTTTTGTTTTCTCTTTTCGTTCTGTTCAACAGGTATCAGTGCTGTGAAGGGCAGAGAAAATGAATTTTCCCAACATAATAATGATGTTTTCTTCCATACGTGTTGTTGGTATGTTGATGTGTTATTTCCTAACCGGTTACAGACAAAATTGTCAGGGAACATTTTGTATACATAGGTGTCAGTTTTTCTGACTTTCTGATAATTGAGAACTTTTGTGTCTACGTTTATGTTTTTGTATTAGTGTGTGCGTGTGTGTGCGCATGCGCGCATGTGAGTGTGTTTGTGTGTGTGTGTGCGTGCGTGTGTCAAACATTTGCCTATTTTAATTGAAGCTTTGATAGATGGAACATTTTTATTAAGTTTTTACCAGCTGTGGGGTATTTTTTATGATTTGCATACTACCATTTATCTGTAGAATTTTAAACAAATGTTTGGGATAGGATTTTTAATGAGTCTTGCAGAATTTTTTTCTATTGTTGATTTGAAAAATATAAAGTTTTCTTCTTGCCTTTTAATGCAAGTCCTATGTTTGTTCTGGTACCAGTCATGTGATATTGTTTCTCAAAAAGCCTCTGCTTGCTAGCCTCTAGAGTTAATATTTAAAGATTTGAATTTCTTTTCTCTCAAAGGAATTCCCCAATTTTTCAGTAGCTGTTATTGGTGTGGGATCAAGAATGCATTATCTTATGTAGAATGGAATAATTAATGAGAATGAGAAATGTTTAGTTTGGTGTCTTAAAAAAATATTTTTACAGTTTGTCAAAACAGTGCAAACATGACATACCAAATGCAGCAGAAAGAAAATTGCATTTTAATTCAGAAAGTGTTGAATTCTTCCTCACTTTTCTTTTATATCAAGTTGCAATGCATAGATTTTTAAATCATTTCATTGTTCATGTAATGTATGTACGAATGATTATAATGTGCCTTTGAGTAGTGAAAGGAATACCCAATGTGTTCAGATTCACTTTATGCTAATCATTGGCAAGCTGTCCCAACAGTTGTAAGTCCAGAAAACATCAGGAGAGAGAGAGGAAAAACTGTTTCATTCTTTTTAAAATTGTTTCTACATTATAATGCATCTTTTCCTGCTTTTTTCGTCATTTTGACTGTTTAGAGTAAGAGTCTGCCGTTAGCCATTTTGGAAAGTGATGCATGATGGAGTCTTGCCCTGAGCAGCCAATTTTGAATAGGAATTTAGAGGGGGCTCTCGTAGCCTAGAGGTTAAGGTGTTTGCCTCTCATTCAAAGGTCCCGTGTTCGATTGCGGGCAGCAACCGAACAAAATTTCATCTCTAAAATTGACTCCTTTCACCTCCTTTCCTGCTCTCTAGCAATGTTCTATCATCTGCTTTCGTCTCCACTTTCTGCCCCCTTTGCCCCCTCCTCTGGGCTCCTGACTCTTTCTGCAGCCTTTCTACTGTTACTCTTTGACTCCTTCTTACTGCTGTCCTTCAGCCACACCCCTGATCTTCTGGTTGGAAAGATCTACACTTACCCTTCTTGGTCAAGGGCAAAAAATCTCGGAGGTCCCGTGTGTAAGTTGCGCACATCAAAGATCCCTTAGTGGTCTAAAATCGATAAAAGTAGGCTTCCGCTGCCACTCGGGCAAAATAAAAAATTTCCTACCAACTGGAAATGTTTGGTGGGTCCTGCGCGCTCATATGACCTTATGCAGTTGCGAGCGCCGTAAAACACTTACCCCCCTCCCTCAAAAAAGGAATTTAGACTAAATATTTCTCAAGCATATGCAACTGATACCACAGGCTTTTACTTATTTCATTTTCCTGATGTATTGTTAATCATTTTTGAATGCACTGAATTCCAGTTGGTAAAATAAGAGTTCGTACAAAATGAAACTGATATTTTAGTGAACACAAGAAATAACTAATAATTTTGGTCTCAACAAAAAGGAATATTTTTTTTCAACAGCCTTGACTTTGCGACAAAAACTTTCAAAAGTCAGAATCTTGGGTCAGTGCAAGATAACACTCTTGTTTGCAATCTCTAGCTACTACTGTCTGTAGTATTATCTCAGGAGTTTTGTCCATTCTTGTTTTAATTAACACTTATGTCTCCCC